CTGGGGATACAAAGAAAGGCAAAAAATATTCCCTACCTTCAGAAACTAATGGTGGTGACAACCTGCAAACAAAAAGGTCCAAACAAGCTATATACAGGATAAGCAGGAAATAGTTAACAGAGAGAAGGCATTGTGAGTCTGGGAAAGGCATTCTGTTGAAGATGGGATTTTAGCTGAGACTTAAAGGAACCTAGGGGATCTAGGAGGTAGAAATGAAGAGGCAGAGCATTCCAGACATGGAGGACAGTCAGAGAAAATGCCTAAAGCTGAGAGATGGAGTGTCTTGTACATGCAACAGTATGGGAGGCCAGTGCCACTAGATTGAAGAATACATTGGGGAAGGGGTAAGGAGGAAGAAAACTGGAACAGTCAGGGTGGGGACTTGTAAATGAAGGACTTTGGATGCCAAACACAGGATTTTATATTTGACCCTATAGGTAATAGAGATTTTTTTTTTACTATGAGGGCAATATGATCAGACTTGTGCTTCAGAAAAATCACTTTCATGGCTTAATGAAGAATGGATTGGAATAGGGAGAAATTTCTGGCAGACAGATCAACCAGTAGGCTGTTGCAGTAATCCAAGCATAAAGTGAAAAGGGCTTGTATTAGGGTGGTGACAGTATCATAGAGGAGAAAAGATAAAATATCACAAAGATCAAGAGATGTTGCAAAGAAAAAATTGACAGCCCTTGGCAACATATTGAATATGAGGCACAAGAGACAGTGAAGAGTAGAGGATGATGCCTAGGTTGTGATGCTGGGGAACTGGGATGATGACATTGCACTGGAAGGGAGGAGAGTTTAGGGGGAAAGTTAATGGGTTCCATATTAGATATGTTGAGTTTAAGATGTTTTTTGGACATCCAGTTTTAATGGACATCTTAGTTCAAGATACCTGAAAACCAGTTTGAGACACAAGATAAGTCAGCAGAGAGGTTAGGGTGGTTTAGGTATATTTGAGAATCACCAGCATAGAGATGATTATGAAATCCATGAGAGCCAATGAAATCTCCAAGTGAAGTACTATAATGGGAGAAGAGAAGGGGACCCAGGACAAAGCCCTGTAGAATGCCCAAAGTTAGAGGGCATGACTTGGATGAGGATGCAACAAAAGAGACTGGGAAGGAGTGGTCAGATAGGTTAGAGGAGAACTAAGAGAGATAACAGCATTTTGAAAACCTAGAGAGGTGAGAATATCATGCAGGAGAGGATGATTGTCAGTGTCACAGGCTTGAGAGACATCAAGAAAAATGAGTGCCACAAAGAACTGCTCCAAAATTTCAGAGAGACAGAAAGAGATACAGAACAGAGAGACAGAGACAGAGAGACAGAGACAGAGAGAGGCAGAGACAAGGAGAGAAAGGATGGATTCTCTTGCTCTTCCATGACCATCTAAATTTAAGTTACTCTATAACTTACAATGACTTTGGACAACCTGCTTACCTTTTCTGAACCTCAGTTTCTTTACCTGCAATAGAAATAATAATAGAACAAGGGAAATGAAATGACTGTTCAAATGTACTAATACCCAAGGAATGTTAAAATAATAATAATAGCTGAAACCTATAAAACCTACTATGTACCAGGCATTATGCTAGATACTTTATAAATATCTCATTTGATCCTCACAATAGTACTAGGAGGTAGTTGTTATTATTATCCCCATTTTACATTTGAAGAAACTGAAGCAAACAGAAATTAACTTATTTGCCCAGGGCCACACAACTAGCAAGAATCTGAGGCTGGATTTGAATTAGATCTTCTTGACTCCAGATCTACTGTGCCACCTAAGTACCTCATACATATCTGTAAAGTACACATTATATTTCATTTATAAGTACATATACAAATATATAGTATTAAATATATATGTATACATCTATTAAAATATATGTATGTATATATGGGGAAAGACTTCTGTTTGAAGGACTTAGGGGATGAGTTGGTCAATAATTACACAAGATCAGGAGATATAGATGGGATATTACCTGTAAAGCACTGTAAACAATTATTATTTTGTTACTCCTTAAATGGCCTCCCACATTGAATTAGGCTGCATGTATCATTTCTAAAGGAGATCTGTATGGCTTGCAGAGTGATAAGCTATGAAACTACCAAACTAACCTATCACTTAACTGTTTGTTTGTAATGAAGATAAGTTGCTTTTGTATATGTATTACAATGTGGTTTTACATACACTATCTCATTTGATCATCACCACATTATAAGGTCTATTCTGCATATATTATTATCCCCATTTTATAGTTGAAAGACTGAGACTCAGAGAAGTTTCATTTTGGTGGTAAAGTGATGGAACCAAGGAACAGCTTCTGGTATTCTAACTTCAAATGCAGTGTCCTTGGTATCACATGCCACTGTGACATAGTACAGTTAACTATGTTAACAATAGTGGAAGAGCTTCAGGAACTACATCAATTTTCCCAGAATTCTAATTCTAGTCAAATGAAGACCAGATTTAAAAGTCTTGACAATTAAGCTATTCAACAAGCACTAGATGTGTGGCATTGTGCTACGCTCTAGAGATAATACCTTATATTTGTATAATGTTTAACAAATATAGACTGCTTTTATATATTTATTTAATGTAATGCTTAGAATAAACCTTTAGTAGAACAGGTATTATTATCTCCATTTAAACTATCATGTGGAAACTGAGGCCCATAGAGGTTATGACTTATACAGACAACCATTTAGGACTTTGCAAAATGTAATAAACCTCACAAAGGTTTACTTATATGTCATAAAGGACAGAACTACTTTTTAAAATACTTTCATCTCAAATTGCAACCGAGAATGAAAAATATGGAGTTAATTAGACCAATCTAGTTAATGTTGACAGAGCAAATGAAAAAGCTGCTTGACAGTTAAATAAAGAAAATAAGTCAGCAGATTGATATGACTTGTATGATATTTTAAGAATCTATAGATGAGGGCTCATTGTTGTGAGAGACAAAGATTAGAAAATGTATATGTGTTATGTTAATTCCAAGACTGATTAAGTTAGAATAGAGAAGAAACTGATACTGTTGGAACAATAAGGAAAAATAAGATATTAAATGAATACAATTTTTCATTGTGTTAAATGAGTTGTAAAATTGTGAAGGGATACTTCTTGGGTTTTTTATTTTTCATTTTTTACAAAATGCTTACTTCCTATAATTTCGAACACATCCTTCTCTGATCTCTCATTTTTCTCTTGGCTTCTTACCTTCCCCCAGGGTGCTTACCTTTATTCCCTGACTTCTCCACTGGTCCCTACCTATTCACCGGTTTTTCTTCCCCTCTGAACCTTCCCCCTCTGTTCTAACTCCTGTCTTTCCCCTCAGTTCTTTCATTCTTCTAAGCCTTCTCCCTTTTCCTTCTGGCCCCTTATCCTTCTATAACCTCTTTCTGGTTCTTTTGAACCCTTCTCTCCTGCTGTGACTCCTTCTCTTCCTTAAAGGCTTTACCACTTCTGTGTTAATCCTGAAGCAGAGAAATGCCAGGAAAAGCAAAAGCAAAAACAAAAAACAAAACTGGAGATTGTGACTTACCATGACTTTCAAGGCATGCTTTTTCTTAAAATTAACAAAAATAGATGATATCCAACACAACCCCCAGGATTACCACCAAATTCCTCAAGTTAGCTGAAAGCCCAGGAAGCCCTTCTGAATCCACATGTTCATCTTTTAATAATGTATTTTGTACAACTCCAAAGCTAAATGAGGCTCACACATAAAAAGCTCCAAGCAATGGTATTCTCTAGAATGGGCTCAGGAGAACTTCTGGAGAATATCAACATACACTCATACAAACATGAACAGATAATAGGAACATGAAACAGTCTACAGTATCATTTTATCCAGACCACCAGAGTACAAATGAAAATTCAAAAGGAAAAATCATGTTTTGTAACATTCAATGTTATTAAGGGTCAGTTGCTAAAATATCTAATATAACTTGGGATTCTATATTTAGATTAATCAAAAGAAAAGAAAAGGGATACTTCTGAAGGAAGTATAAGTTTTGCTATGTTTTCAGGAAGTGTGATATAGTGGAAAGGGCTCTGTTTCTAGAGTCAGAAGAACTGAGTTCAAATCCTAACTTTATAACATACTACTTGTGCAGGAATGATCAAGTTTCTTAACGTTCGTCTACAACAATTTCCTCATCTGTGAAATGAAGGTGAACTAGATGGCCCCTGAGGTTTCTTCCAGCTCTAAGTCTATGATAATATGTGAAAAATAACTATTTCTTTCTACCTTACACGTTCATTAGGTTAAATTGTTAAATATAAAAGTGTTCAGACCATCATTTAATTTAATCAGGGGAAATAGCATCATGCTACGGAAAGCACATTAAATTGGGATTCAGGATACTTAGGTTCAACCACTAACCAGCTGAACTGCCCCTTATAAAAGTGAGTGTTGGAGCTAAATGATGTCTAACTCTAGCTCTAATGTTTGATGATTGGATATTCTGTATGCTTCTGTGATTGTCAACTAAATGGATAGCCACTCCATATCTAAAACAAATCCTTGTCTAAAATTCCTCATATACAGTGAAATAATCCATTTTTCTGCTTCTAAAGAGCATATTAAGAGCAAATGGGATGATAGCTTTCCTGAGAATTATCTTTCTTTCTCCAAATTAGAGCTTCATATTTTTTCTCCTATACCCTCATATGCCCTTATCTCCTGTGGTCCTCATATTTTGGTACGAGTTCAGAATGGTTCACATTACTCCTGTCACTCGCATACCTTCTATGCTCAATGCTTTTCCCTTTCTAGGTCTGAATTCCATCTTGCATGTATCCCTTGGCTTTGTATGAAATAGTATCTTCCAAGCCTTTTTTCTTTAACCGCTTATTGGTCTAATTAAATGTAGCTGTCTATGTGGTGTGTGTGTTTGTGTGTGAGTCAGCAGAACACATTTAGCAATATGTTTATTGCTGACCAACAACTGAACTGCTTTCTTCTCTTGTGTTTTTCTTTCAGCATTGCAAAATCAAACTATATTCCAAGAGCAAAGAAAGAACTTTGATAAGGTAACTTTTGAAAAATGCATTTGGACAGTAGAGATAAGGGTATTGATTAATCAATCAACTGCAATGCACATTTCTCTGAGTATTAGACCAAGACAGGAAAAGAGAGCATCTAAAAACAAACTGCCCCAGGTTGCCCAGTCCTCTTCCTTGAAATATTAAATTTAATTCAATGAACATGTTGTAAAGCATCTACTATATGTATATATATATGCATATGTGTATATATATATACACACATATATATATATATACATCACTGTGCTAGGTTTAGAGAAATACAAAAATCAATAATAATACAGAGTTCCTTTCTGCACCCTGGGAACTTTTGATTCAATAGAGAAGATAACATATCCAAAATTTTAAGGAAAAAAAAACCTTTTGATTCAGACCTGTGATTTCATCAGTATAGGCTACTGTTGGTGAGGATATGCCCTTTGTTATTTGCAGTTAGAAAGTATAGGAGAGTTGGTAAATTCTACACTGTCCTTCCTCTAGTGTAAATTCCTTACTGAATAGGCCACTTGAACAAAGGAAAGTGTAGCTTATATGTACCAAAAAATAAAAATAAAAAGGTACTAATGTTTGCTACATGTTACAAACATGTGCAAAAGAGCAGATCCACTGTTATAGTGGAAAGATGGCTAGACTGGGAGTTAAGAAACCCGCTTTCTAGTTCTGAATCTGCCAGGACCCCACTGTGCAACCTTGGACAAGTTATTTTACCTTTGTGGGCCTTAAATTCATTATCTACAAAAAGAAGGTTGGAATACGTGATTTCTGTGGTGCCTATTAGCTCTGACATTTGATGTCTATTTGTTTTTGCTTTACATTGCTTTCTAGGAATTCTGAGAACATATGTGTCCTCATAGTTTGAGAAGGAGAATTATGTTCTATTTTGAGCCCTATTTGTTGCATTTTTATTCATGACCTACACAAGAAGAACAATACTTTTACAGTTTGAAAAACACATTCCTTACAACAATCCTTTTAAATCACTTCTGCAAATATTATTCCCATTTTACAGAGAGGATAGCATCTAAAATCAGATAGAGAGGACTCTCATAGTCAGAAAAATCTGGGTTTAAGTCCCACATCTGTCACTTACAAATTCTGTGCCCATGGTCAAGTCACTTATTGCCTCAGATAACTCTCTAAGACCTTAAATTTCAGAATAGATGCCAATATTCATTGGCAAACAAAGTTTATTAAGATATCTGTATAAATACAGATACGTGTATATATGTATCTATATGTATCTGTGATTATATGTGGGATTATACACGCACATAGATTGTTGTTATTCAGTCATTCAGTCATTTACAATTCTTTGTGACCCCATAGCACACCAATACTGTTTTCTTGGCAAAGATACTGGAGTGATTTTCCATTTCTTTCTCCAATGGATTAAGGTAAGCAGAGATTAAATGATGTCCAGGGTCACACATCTAGTTAGTGTCTGAGGCTGGATTTGAACTCAGGTCTTCCTGCTTCCAGGCCCAGAGTTCTATTCGCTGAGCTACCTAGCTGCCTCCAAACACATAATACATTTTATATACATGTGTATATGTATATGTATATGTATATGTATACACACACACACATACACGTAAATATATTACAACAGAATTACAAGTCCAATTCTACTCCATTCTACAGTTGAGTAAACTAAGGCTCAGAAAAAGTTAAGCTGCTTATTCAAGGTCATACATTTAGTGACAGAGATGGCACTCAGCACATATCATTCCAGGTCCAATGTTCATTGTACTATCACATAATGTAGATAAGGAAGAGACCTACTTTAGAGATTATCTAATCATTATACTTCAACTAATTTCATTTTTCTTCTATAATATGTAACTAGGACTATATAACAAAACATTTGACAGTTTCTTATTCTAATCTTATGGATAAGATGGAGATAGATACCTAATTATATTTATTCAAAACCAGAAAAACTCAATTTGGTTGTAGTTTCCAATTTCAGTTGTAAAAGTAATTTCTACTAAGAGTATCCTAGATTATTTTTATATTTAGAGACAGTACAGTTACATGATTTAATAAGTGCTCATCATGGGAATTTTGTGTATTTATGTTACATAGACTGAAGACTATTTAAAGCACAAGATCAGAAAGAGACCTGAAGGGACCAACTTAATCAACATGCACATTTTACAAGGTAAGTGTGTAATGATACAAAGAAAATTGTCATGTTAGACTTTTTTTTCCTCTAGAGTTCTTTATCTCTTTTGAATTGCAAAGTTCTTTTCTCTTCTTCTGGGTTTTCCTATCCAAAATAAAAATGAGCTTACATGATTATCAAGTAATTATTCACACAGAAGAGAAATTGAATTTGTTCTCCTCAGTTCCAACATAATGAACTAGGAGTGAATTAATGAAAGTTGGATGAAAGTTGCAAAAGGTCAAATCCAAGTCTTTATATCTAACAAATAGAGCTATGCAAAAGTTGCATCAGCAGGAAGCAAATTCCTCCATCACTGTAGTCAATTGATCAATCAATAAACACTTATTAAGTGCCTACTTTGTGCCAGACACTGGGGATACAGAGACTAAAGATAGTCCCTGCTCTCAAGGAACATACAGTCCAAAGAGGGAGACAACATTGCAAACAAATATAGACAAAGCAAGCTATACACAGGATAAATAAGAAGTAATTAAAAGAAATAAGGTACTGGAATTAAGAGGAGTTGGGGAAAGTTTCCTGTAGAAGGTGAGATTTTAGTTGGGACCTAAAGCCAGGGAGGTCAGTAATCGAGTGGAGGAGATAGCATGTTCCAGGCATAGGGATAGCCAGAGAAAATTCATGGAGCTGAGAAACAGAAAACCACTATCCCTGGATTGAAGATTACCACTGGAGAGTAAGGTATAAGAAGGCTGGAATGGTATAAGGAAGCTAGGTTATGAAAGGCTTTGAATACGAAATACAGCATTAATTATCAGAACTGATGTAGAGAGTATTCATGCTTTAAGTAGGGGTTAGACTAAATTACTTGAGATGTTCCTTCCAAATGTAAGATTCTATAATTATAAAGATATAATTATAAATAAAGATTCTATAATTATAATCTTCATCATATAGGACAAAAATTTCACCTCGGTACCTGATTGATATTCATTGACTGTTCTTATTGGCTAATTTTTCCTTCTGTTTTTATCTAAGCTACACAATGTTAAAGGAAATTTTTATGTGGATAAGAGAATTAAGAAGATAAGAGCCACAAGGCCCCATTTTAAGTTGTTCTGAGACTAGTACAGGACCTTGGAGAGTTCTGACAGCTGCATGTCAAACATTTGAGCAAGAGGAGTTTCTGCTCTGATTTGTCTTCCTGGAACTTAATCCAGCAGGTATTCTCCAATAAAAAACACTGACATTTTACTGGACCATCTCCATTTATCCAGTCTAATAACATAAGTCCATATTTTCTCTTAGTGGATGCAGTAAATCACAGAAAATCTGTTAAGGTATCCTTAAATAGAGTGGCACATTAGTCTAATAGGTAATGAAAAGTCTAGGATTTTTAATCTTGGGTCTATAATAAGCAACAGATCCTTTGCACTTTGAGATAAGTTTGTTTAACTTCACCATGCCTAGATTTTTTTGTTCTGAGAATAAACACCAAACAATCCACTTAGATATCAAATATCTTAAATTTGAGATCAATTTAATATAAATTATTAACTTTTTTGTAATCTATTTATTTTTCATTTTCAACATTCATTTCCATAAGATTTTGAGTTCCAAATTTTCCCCCTATCTCTCCCCTCTCACCTACCTCAAGATAGCATATAAATTGATATAGGCTCAACATATATATTCATATTAAACAGATTTTCACATTAGTCATGTTGTAAAGAAGAATTAGAACCAATGTTAGAAACCATGAGAAAGAAGAAACAAATTTAAAAAGGGGAAAAAGAGAGAGAGCAAATAATATGCTTTGACATGCATTCATACTCCATAGTTCTTCTCCTTGATGTGGACAGCATCATGAGTCCTTTGGAGTTGTCTTGGATCTTTACATTGCTAAAAACAGATGAGTCTATCAAAGTTAGTCATCACACATTGTGGCTGTTACTGTGAACAATGTTCTTCTGGTTCTGCTCACTTCACTTAGCACCAGTTCATACAAGTCTTTCCAGGTTTTTCTGAAGTCTGTCTGCTCATCATTTCTTATAGCACAGTAGTATTCAATTACATTCATATACCACAACTTGTTCAACCATTTCCCAACTAATGAGCATCCCCTCAATTTCCAATTTTTGGCCACCACAAAAACAGCTGCTATAAATATTTTTGTACATGTGGGTCCTTTTCTCATTTGTATGATCTCTTTGGGATACAATCCTAGAAGAGGTATTGCTGGGTCAGAGGGTATGCACAGTTTTATAACCCTTTGGGCATAGTTCCAATTTGTTCTCCAGAATGGTTGGATCAGTTCACAACTCCACCAATAATGCATCAGTGTTCCAATTTTCCCTCATCTTCTCCAGCATTTATCATTTTCCTGTTTTGTCATGTTGGCCAATCTTATAGGTGTGATATGGTACCTCAGAGTTGTTTTGATTTGCATTTCTCTAATCAATAGTGATTTAGAACATTTTTTATATGACTATAGATAGCTTTAATTTCTTCCTCTGAAAACTGCCTGTTCATATCCTTTGACCATTTATCAATTAGGGAATGACTTGTATTCTTATAAATTTGGCTCAGTTCTCTATATATTTGAGAAATGAGGCCTTTATCAGACACACTGGTTGTAAAAATTATTTGTCAGTTTTCTGTTTCCCTCCTAATCTTGGTTGCATTGGCTTTATTTTTGCAAAAACTTTTCAATTTAATATCATCAAAATTATCCATTTTGCATTAAAAATGTTCTCTATCTCTTGTTTGGTCATAAATTCTTCTGCTTTCCATAAATCTGACAGGTAAACTATTCCATGATCTCCCAGTTTATACTATAGTATCAGCCTTTATATCTAAAGCAACGTACTATTTTGACTTTATTTTGGTATATGGTATAAGATGTTGGTCTGTTTCTAATTTCTGCCTTACTGTTTTCTAGTTTTCCCAGAAGTTTTTGTCAAATAGTGAGTTCTTATCCCAGAAAACTGGAGTCTTGGAGTTAATCAAACAGTAGATTATTAGTCACTGACTATTGTACCTAACCTATTGCACTGATCCACCACTCTGTTTCTTAGCCAGTATCAAGTAGTTTTGATCCTCCTTTTTGTTCCTCCAGATGAATTTTGTTATCATTTTTTCTAGCTTTATAAAATAATTTTTTGGTAGTGTAATTGGTAAAGCACTGAATAAGTAACTTAATTTAGGTAGAATTGTCATTAAATGGAATTTCTCTTTCTATCTCTTGCTGTTGGGCTTTGTTAGTAATATATAGAAATGCGGATGATTTATATAGGTTTATTTTATATCCCACAACTTTGCTAAATTTGTTTATCATTTCAAGTAGTGTTTTACTTGATTCTCTAGGATTCTCTAAATATATCATCATATCATCTGCAAAAAGTGATAGCTTTTTTTCTTCTTTGCCTATTCTAATTGCTTCAATTTCTTTTTCTTCTCTTATTGCTAAAGCTAACATTTCTAGTACCACATTAAATAACAGTGGTGATAATGGACATCCTTCTTTCACCCCAACCTTATGGGAAATGCTTCTAGCTTATCCCCATTACATATAATTCTTGCTGATGGTTTTAGATAGATGCTACTCATCATTTTAAGGAAGACTCCATTTATTCCTATGCTCTTCAGTGTTATTAATGGGTATTGTATTTTGTCAAAAGCTTTTTCTGCATCTATTGAGATAATCATATGGTTGCTGTAAGTTTTGTTGTTGATATGGTCAATTATGCTGATATTTTTCCTAATATTGAACCATCCCTGGATTCCTGGCATAAATCCTACCTGGCATAGTGTATTATTCTCAAGATAAGTTGCTGTAATCTTTTTGCTAATATTTTATTTAAAATTTTTGCACCTATATTCATTAGGATAATTGGCCTATCATTTTCTTTCTCTGTTTTGATTCTTTCCAGATTAGATATCAGTACCATATTTGTATCATAAAAAGAATTTGGTAGGACTCCTTCTTTGTCTATTTTCCTAAATAGTCTATATAGTATTGGAATTAATTGTTCTTTAAATGTTTTATAGAATTTGCTTGTAAATTCATCTGGCCCTGGAAATTTTTTCCTAGGGAGTTCATTTCTGGCTTGTTCAATTTCTTCTTCTGAAATGGGGTTATTTAAGTATTTTACTTCTATTTCCATTAATCTGGGTAATTTATATTTTTGTAAATATTCATCCATTTCACTAAAATTGTCATACAGCTGAGTAAAATAGTTCCTAACTATTGTTTTAATTTCCTCTCTACTGGTGTGAATTCACCCTTTTCATTTTTGATACTGGTAATTTGGTTTTCTTTTTTCTTTTTTTAAATCAAATTAATCAAAGGTTTGTCTATTTTATTTTTTTTCATTAAATAAGCTCTTAGTTTTATTTATTGGTACAATAGTTTTCTTAATTTCAATTTTGTTAATCTCTCCTTTGGTTTTCAGAATTTCTAATTTAGTATTTAATTAAGGATTTTTAATTTTTTTCTAGCTTTTTTTAGTTGCATGCCCAATTCATTGATCTTCTCTTTCCCTATTTTATTCATGTAAGCATTTAGAGATATAAAACTTCCCCTAAGAACCACTTTCACTGCATCCCATAAGTTTTGCTATGTTGTCTCATTACTGTCATTCTCTCATATGAAGTTATTGATTATTTCTATGATTTGTTGTTTGACCCACTCATTCTTTAGGATTAGATTATTTAGTTTCCAATTAATTTTAAACTATCTCTATATGGACCCTCATTACATATAATTTTTATTGCATCATGATCTGAAAAGGATGTATTTAATATTTCTGCCTTTCTGCATTGGATTGTGAGGTTTTTATGCCCTAGTATATGGTCAATTTTTGTGAAGGTGCCATGTACTGCTGAGAAAAAGGTATATTCTTTTCTATCCCCATTTAATTTTTTCCAGAGGTCTACCATATCTAACTTTTCTAAAATTCTATTCACCTCTTTCTTGTGTATTTTGTGGTTAAATTGATCTAGTTCAGAGAGGGGGAGGTTGAGGTCCCCCACTA